TTGTTCAAGAGGGGTCCCTGCCCCGGCCACCTTAAAGGCTAAAGGGTCAAGTCAAACAGAGGGTGGGAAAGGAAAGAGAGGCCCGGGGGAGGTGGGGGTGGCACAGCGGCTCTGCAGGACCTGGGTCCCCAGTCCGCTCCCCCCTCGTACCCGAGCAAAGCCTCAGACCCAGAACTGAGCTGAGCAGCAGCTCCACTTCTGAGTAAAGCCCAGCACAGCTTTTCTGCAGATGGACAGGCCCTCCTGGCTCCAAACCCAGCTGCAGAGCCTCACACCTGTGAGGGTTTTACAGCACTTGGAAACCTTTAACCACAAGGTTCTTCCAGATTCCAGGAGGAATTTCTTGGTGAGCCCAAACAACACTGAACACAGTTGTCCCTTCAAGCCACAGTGACAAACCCTTGTGATATAAAGATATAAAGCTTGCAGTGTTTATCTCCTCAGTTTATCACCATCTGAGCCAGGATTCCTTCCTGTCAGCAGCACTGCTCACCCCAAGCCTGCCAGCCCTGCACCTTCACTGATCTGCTTTCACACCAGTGTTCTTTCAGTGACGCAAGTTGGCTGGGCCAGACACCTCAGCCACGGGAAATGAAACATCCTGGGCCCTGGGGCTCACAAGCAGTCAGTGACAAGGCCCTGGCACAGTGGCAAGTCCAGGTGTGGGTGTAGCCCACACCTCCTTTGGGTGGACCTTCAATCACATGGCATGGAAAAGCAAGATGGCAGAAGTCAGGCCAGTCATCCAGGTAATATATCCTGCCAAAACATGGTTGTTCTCAAGAGCTTCTTTAAGAGACTGGAATGATGTGGAGACATGGAGTTCATGTCCTTCTGCTGTTCCACCAGGACATACCCAAGGTGTCACAGCAAGATGTCCCAAACAGGGACAGCACCAGGAAGGGAGATGGGACACAACCACTGCTGTGAATGGATGGACCTGGGAGAGGAGCTGAATTTCATCCTGCTACAAAATGACCCAGCTGTCAGCTGTCTGTGCCCATGACTGCAGCCACCTAATTTTGCAGGTTTGGGTGTATTTTTTTTTCTCCTAGTTCTGTGTTAGAATCTCCTCCAAGCTGTGGAGAGCAGAGCATAACTGATCTCCTGGATGAGTCAGGCTGTGAGCTGACCCTAAGGCTGCCCACAACAGCCCCCTACAACTCCACAGAGGTCTTCCTGACTACTCTAATTGTTCGGCGTATTGAACTGATCATATCCGAACACCCCAAGCATTATTTCACACTGTCCCTTCCTGAAGGAAGTATTTCAGCTGTCTGAAAAGAAGTAACATATAAGATACTCAAATGTGTGCAGAGTTGACAGGCACATGACATTTGCATTTCAAATAGAAGGAATGGGTTTGTAACATTTTAAGGTGAATTGTAGAACTTCTATAGGGGTTGCTTGCTTGTCACCAAAAGATAGAATAATCTTCTTCTCACTCAGCCCCACTAAAACATTCCTTAATAAAGGCAGCAGCAGGCTCAGCTACAGCTATTGTGCAGGGGTGGCTTCCCAGGATCATCACTGAGTCCTTACAATGCAGCACTATCTTGGGTTGCAATGCAGGATGTGACCAAAAGTCTGTATTCTATCACAATCTGTTGAAATTAAGAGGGGCAGTGATCCTGATTTCTGTGGGAGATATCCTCTGCTAATGGCCCATCTGTTAAAGCAGCTGGGGCAGTGTTCTTTATCTTTCCCACGGCCCATCCTCCCTCCAGGAGATCTCTCCTGTTCATGGCCATGCAGTCCCAGGGCAGGGCTGATAAAATTCCATCATCCCATTGGGAGATGCTCCAGCCAGGGGCAGAAGCCAAACATTTCTTACCCAGATCAAAGGTGAGATTTGGAACAGCAGAGCAGCCTTTTCCCACTGGATCCCAGAGGAAAACCAGAGCCTTCCACATCATCACTGGAGCTTTGGAGGAAAACTGCACCTTGTGCAGGAGCCCTGCTCCAGCAGAACCACATCTGTCACTGCAGGAGGATGCAGGCATCATTTAATGGGACTGCTACCAACGCCCTGACTTACAGGGTGTCAGGTTGTGTTCTGACTCTGTCAGTGTTTTGGGTTTTTGTATTACTGTATTTTTATTTTAATTTTCCTAGTAAATAACTGCTATTCCTATTCCCATATCTTTGCCTGAGAGCTCCTTAATTTCAAAATTATAATAATTTGGAGGGAGGGGGTTTACATTCTCCATTTCAAGAGAGGCTCCTGCCTTGCTTAGCAGACACCTGGCTTTCAAACCAAGACAAGCACTTGACAAACATATGGAATGAAAAGGTCATTCCTGCACCATTATCTTTGGCAGCAGTCCCCACTCCTGGAGTCTTTAACTGGAGTGACCAAGCTGAAGCCCAGCACAAGTGGGAGCAGAAATGCTGAGCAGCCCCTGGATGACACTCCCTGTGCACCTGCTGCTCTAGGTCAGAGGTAGCCAATATTGGCCATTGTTTTAACAGAAAAAACAGCAGTATTTTGGCAGGGTTACAAAGCAAGCCCATTCTTTACATCTGCAAAAGAGAACCAGTCCACGCCTGCTGAGGGAACTGACAGGGGAAACGTATTTTCCAGCAGTCTTGGGTACAACATTGAATTGGGACCTATTTTTACCACATTCTCTGCACTACACACATTAATTGCTACGACAACATTTGCTGTCATATTCACTCCAGTCATTTACAGAACAGAAGTCCAGGAGACAAAACAAGCCCCTGCTCCATGAGACAGAGGGAGCAGGCAGGATGCCACATTGCTTCCTGTGACACACAGCTATGGCTGATGACACAGATAACCCATCCTGTGCTGGTAGCTCAGGCCCAGCTCCATGCAGGAGAGGGAGGAGAGGGGCCCAGCTCATGGATCAGTACTGCCCATCCTCCTCCTCCTGCCTAGCACAGACACAGCAGCACCTGGCTCTTTCTGGAGCCCTGCTTGTGTGCCCACCATGCTCCCCCATTGCAGGGGCAGCCAAAACCCTCTGTCACCACTCTGTCACCTCTCAGCAAAGTGCTCTGCAAGCAGGGGCAGAGCTCAGAGCAGTCTGAGAGCTCCCAGCCTCGGAGCAGCACAGACAGGCTGGCAAGCACCACTCAGCAGTTTCGGGATCCAGCCTCCATCCTAATTAAGCCAAATTAGGTTTGCAAAGAATGAGGATGTTTTAGGAAGGACGTACAAAAGAACTGCTGAGGTCTCTGTAGGCCATGGAGGCCCGGAGCATCCTCCTGAAGGCAGAAATTGCCACTGTTGATGTGGACTCTCAGTTTTCCACAGTGCTGGAGGATGATCCTGCTCCCTGTGCTGCCCATGGCTCCCCTCGCACATAACCCCAGGAAGTGCAGCTGGGAGAGCTGGGATTCTCCTCCAGAGCACCAGCAGCACATCAGCCAAACTTGTGCTGTCTGCAGAGACAGCTGAGCAAAATCAGCTCCAAAATGCCAAGGCCTTAAATGGAGGTAAATATGATTCAGAACAGGGAGAGGTTTGACAAATCAGCATCTTCCCATGCTGAGGGGTATAAAACACGCAGCTGCTCTACCACCACAATTTACACGGAAGGCATTTCTCCTGGAAGTAAGAGAACACTTAGTATATATTCCTAGCAAGATTGATTACCTCTATTTATATTGTAAACTAAGACAGCATGTACTAAACCCATAGAGTTAACCAGTTCCAGATCCCAGATCCTGAGTGAGGGGTCAGTTTTCCATTGTCTACTGCACAGTCTCGTGCATTTATTAGAGAGAACAGAGTTTCCTGCAGCATGGTTTTTTTGTGTGTGTGCTTATTTTTGTGGTATTTCAACAACCATCAGGATGAGCACTGCTATTTTATGGGATGTCAGGGAATTGGAGAATCCACGAGGTTTTTTAAAGGTTTACTTGAAACAGCCAAGAAGCCAGCGTGCCACTATAAATATATGTATGTATAACAACTGCAATCTGTTCTGGGACAATAAAACCACAGGACTGAAGGCAGTATCCCATAGCTGAATATATCCATTTATCCTGCAGTAAGATGAACCCCTGTTCTGAGGATCCAACCTGCAGGGAGTTTCATCAGTTTCCCCTCACAGCCAACCTGCCCAGCTGGGCAACTCTCATTTGCTCTGTAAGTTACAGATCCAGTTTCAACATCTGACAGCAGATATAACAGAGGTGCAAGACACGCTCTTTGGTGTGTCTGCTCCTACACCACTTGTGCAGTTCCACTGGGCCAGGAGACCCCAGATCTCCACCATGAGGCATCGAGCCAGACTCACTGGCTTATTTATCCCTAAGAAAAAGCTAACTTTCTAACTAACTTGCTTCTTTTTCTCTCTTTAAACACTGATAAGGTGAGAGATGTTGAAGTTCCCTGTTGGTTTATATTGCAGTTTGGGAAGGGATAGATTTTGGCGTGTTGCTGTAACAAATACAAGAGTCAAATTGGAAGAGATGGTGATTTGAGCTAACGTAATTAAAATTTATTCTTAACAGCAATCCACAGATAACCAGTGCCAAACACAATCTGGAGTCATCAACTAGCATGGACATGAATTAACCTAATAGCTTCTGAAAAAAAGAGGCAGTCCTATGAAAAAATCCTCCTATTAAAGTAATTAAGTGTTAACAGAATCACAGAGCCATAATTAAACATGGTTTATAATTAAAACAGCATGTGTCCTAGACAGAGAACACAGCAACAAAGAGAGTCCAACCATGACAGTTGATGCCAAAACACATGCCAAGAACCAAAAATCAGAAAAACAGGCGAGTTTCTAGCAAAGCTGCAGATGCAGAGCCTCTGATCCTCTGACTGAGCCGTCAGCACTGCGGATGTCACAGATGTGACTGCACTCAGAACTCCTCACGGCTTTGCCAGGTGCTGCTAAAGTTCAAGCAGAACTCTTGGGAATCAAGAAGACACCGAGAGCAAGGCCCAGAACACCGAGGCAGCGCAGGGAGCGGTGAGCAGGCAGGAGCCGGGGCTCGAGCCAGCCTCGTCCTACCTGGCAGCGGCTGAAGATGTCACTCAGGGACACCTGCACGTTGAAGTGCTTCAGCACCTGCAGCGCCTGTTCCTTCGCCTTCTCGGAGCAGTTCACAGAGAAACACCTTCCTTCTCCCACCTGGGAGCGCAGCTGCAAACCAGAGACACCAGTGAGGCTGAGCGTCAGGGCATGTGGGGCTGTTCTGTTTGGTTCGAATTCTGAATAATGCTTGGAGTTAGTGTGTGTTCACAGTCTGAATTCTGATCTGAGCACCACAATTGGTAACCTAACAGCCACCTCTGCAAGAGCTCTGACTCCTGAAGCAGTGCATGATTTTATGTGTATGAAACATGATTTAAGCTGGAGAAAGAGAGGCTCAGGCTGGACCTTCTCACTCTCTACAACTCCCTGACAGAAGGATGCAGCCAGGGGGATGCTGGTCTCTTCTCCCAGCTAACAAGTGACAGGACAAGAGGAAATGGCCTCAAGATGCTCCAAGAGAGGCTGAGATTGGATTTCAGGGAATTTCAGGAACATTTCTTCACAGAAAGGTGGTCAGGCATTGGAATGAGTTGTCTGGGGAGGTGTTGAAGTCATCTCTGGATGTGGCACTTGGAGACATGGTTTAGTGGGGACCATGGTGATGGTGCTGGGTTAACAGCTGGACTTGATCATCCTAAAGGTCTTTTCCAACCTTAACAATTCCATGATTCTGTTCTATAGCATATACCCAAGTCCCATTAACTCATAATTTGGTGAGGTGGTGCTGACAGGGGCAGCAAAAGGATACTGAATTCAATCCCACTTTTCTGATGAAACTTGGCCAGATCCCACAGAGTGTGTCAAAGCACGATGATGGAAACAATGTCCAGTGACCCTCTGATTCACACAAATGTTTTCACCTGGAGTTGCCTGAGGGCCAAGAAATTTAAAGGGGTTGATGTGGGCAATCCCTCAATGTTTGTTACACACTCTGCAGAGGAGACTGCATCTGGGAATGAGCAGTCCCAGACACATCTTTATGGCCATGCTAAGGACTCATAGGAGTGGGATCAACCACACACCAGTAAAGGAGCCCAGCAGAGGCATCCCATCCTTGTGGAGGGCATCCAAAGGCAAGGAAACTGAGGGAACCAGACATTTCCCAGGAGTATTGTACCCTGGAAGCAGTTATTTCTCTTTTGCAATTCCTACAAGTACTTTGAAATTAGAGCTCTGCCAAACAAGATGATGCTGGATTCTGAATTCCCTATTCCACCAGCTGTAGGCTCAAGGAACCTGAAGGGTGGCTGTACCCGTCTCACAGTGTCTCATTACAGGAGGAGTTTTATTCCACACTCAGATTTTCCATAGGAAATCAGCAATCTCTATTCTGCAAATGTTCTGCCTGAGTAGCTGGGAGACTTTATACTGACAGTTTGTGACAAAGAAGTCCTGCACCCTGGCTCGTATGAACAGAATTCTGGCATATCCAGAATGATTTCACTCTTCCAAATGGATTTCTGGGCAGTAAAAAATTGCAAAGTACCTGCAGTAGGACATCACAGCATTGCAAGCACTGACTTGGCAGTTTCAGCACTGCATTTTGAAAAGTGTCTGTGAACAGCTCTGAACAGCTGGTGCTGAGGGCAAGGTTGGGCTTTGCTTTGGCTTTTCTCTTTATCCATAACAACACAAAATCTCTCCAGCTTCCACCGGACCCATGTTTGGGGCCTTCCAATCTCTCCCTTTCAAGCCTGAAGAAATGTTCCTGAGGGCTGAAACTCTCAGTGTGGAGCCAGCCAGCAAGCAAGAATCTCTGGGACAAAAAGCACAGGAATTGAGCTGCCTTTCATCTACCAGTGAGACCAGACAGAAACACACTGTTCTGGATTGATTGGCTTGACTTCCACCCCTGCCCCCAATGGAGAGCAATCACTCTCCCCACTGATGCAGGATTGAGAATGAGTATAAAAAAGCATTTCACCCCGACACTTCGTGGTTGAGAACAGCAAACCTCTGCAGATCCTAAATGTAGCTTTTAATGGAGAAAACATGAAAAAGCCAAGCCAGCTGTTGCATTCATGTCTGCCTTTTCCTCTTGTCTTCCCTGCACACCCCAGACCACGCAGTGATCAGTGCCAGAAACACGCCAGCAGCTCGGAACACTCACGGTCTGATATGGGAGTCCAGAGGTCAAAATGACTCTTCCTTCCTGTCGGGCAATCTGGAAAAAATGGTAAAAATCCAAATAAGAAGGGGCTGAAGTTATGCTGAGTTCAAGTTTACTTGCAGTCACAGAAGAGAGAAGGTGAACTGGAGATATCAAGTGTTTCTCTCAGTGTCAGTCCACACCTGGTCAAGAGTTCCTGAGAGCAACAGCAGCTCAAGGTATGGCTCACTCCTTGTCCCCTCCCTGCCACTCCCTGCCTTGTCTCCCAAGCGCTGGAACAAGCTGCTGGTGCACCTGTACCACAGATGGCCCAGGGAACCATTCCACCTTGAAACAATCCTATCCAAAACCAATCTTTTATTTTTTCCCCTTAACCCAGACTATTTCTATTTCTGCAGTCTGGGTCACAAAGAAGGAACAGTTGTGCTGCATAGGGGAAAAAGGAAAAAAAATCGATGCAGGTAATTCCAGAAAAAAAATGTACTGTGAAATGTGTCTGCAAACGTCACCCCTTTAACAAAAAATGCTTCTTAGAGAAGGAGCATGTTATTGTCCTGGCAGCCCAACACACAGGAATTATGCATCTTTCCAGGCTGCAGGGAACATATCCCGTAGAGTTTATCATCGCCTAACTTGCAATCCTGAACTTTTGTCAGAGGTCTGGTCCTTCAAGTGGAAGATCTATGCTGAGTTACCATGGAGCTCCTCACCTGCCCTGCTGACCTTCACATGGGGTTGGGGACACTGCAGAGGGGTCGGTGCCAAAGGGAGACACAATCTGGAGCTGCAAGACGGAAGTGTGACTGACCTTCCTTCACATGACTGAATGACACCTGTCCCTCCCAGCCCTCCCCCTCGTGGAGGAAGGACAGAGCCTTATGGCTGCAGCAATAGGAGGATTCCCAAGGATTCCTATGGGAACCAGGACTCAGCTGTGATCCTGCTGACAAGAGATCAGTTCTTTGAAGCAGGCACGAGGTTATTTCTCTCTTCTGGCTTGGATTCTGTTGGAAGCCCTCATGTTTTTCACTGACTCCAGATGTGTGTTATGGAGGCCTCTCATCTGGTTCAGAGTGCAGCAGCTCTCTCTGGATCCCTCTTTATTGGCAGGAAGACATATTTGGGATCAGAGTCCTGCTGCACTTCCCAGAGAGACACTAGCGAGCACAGCCAGGGAACACTAGACAAACCAATCGTGACTTTTAAGCTCTGTCTTGGGTAGTCATTCTTTTAAGATTCACTGGACCTATAGCAACAGGAAACAAGGGGGAGAAGGCTCTGAAGGCTCCATGCAGGCAGCTAAACAACCTGGTTTTTTCATTTTTTCCTCTTCCTGAGACTTCAGGTATCTGCTTCGCTCCTTTAGTTGTGAAGTCACTCTTTGGCTGAAAGTTCTGCACTGAGAAAGCAATTGGCAACAACTTCTAAAGCATCTTTCTAGAGGCAAAATTACTGGATTTCTTTCAAAATCAACCCTCTCTCTCTCTCAATAAAGGAAAAAGCCTCTAAGAACAGGAGACTTGAAGGGGCAGCACAGACTCCCCATGCAGTTCTGCTACTGAGCAGCCACCACAGCACCCTTGTGGCACTTTAGTGAGGGAGGTCTGGTAAGTCAACAGCAAAAGGTCACCACAGGGATTTGCCAACAAAGGAAAAGGGATGTGGAATTCCTTCAGACCCATGTTTGCTTCAGGGTAAGTCTGAGGATTTCACAGCTGGAACACTCCATTCTGACTTTCTGCATTCAGGGTTAATTAGTTCAAGCTTGATAAATCCCCTTATCTAAATGGCTCTGCAGAGACAGGCAAAGAACATCAAATAAAAAGGAGAAAAGCAGTAACTCTTCCAACATGTTTTTCTGCCTCTGGAACAACGACTGGGAGAAGCATGCAGAGCTAGAAAAGCCATGTGATAGCACACATCTGACTGAGACCACAGAAGGTATGTGCTGGAGAAAAGGACGCAATTCCTTCTTTTCCTCCAAAAGCAACAAGGGAAGGCAGCACTGGGACCATGGGGGGATGTGTGGTCAGGGATGCAAATGAGAGGACAAGAACGCCCAGGGCAGCATTTTGGCGTGGTTGTCAGGGACCTGTGCTCCAGCCCAAGTGCTGCAGAGAGGGCATTGGCCTCAGTTTCACAATCTATTACAAAGATAGTATCAACTTCCTCTGGAAAAGGCTCAGACCTTCTGGATAGAAAGCACTCCCTGATCTGTTGGTATTACTGATTAGCCCTTAACGTGCCTGTCTGTTCAGCCAACTTCCATCCTGCAGAAATGAATGAACCCACAGGAATTACTGTCAGAGAGACCTGGAAGGGCAATGACTGAGAACAGAGGGCAGACAAAACCCCTTTGTTTCCAAGCCAGCACCAGCAGCAGGATGATTCGTGACAACCTAAAGTGTCCTGAACCAAGGCCAAAGGAGGTTCAGAAAAGCAGCAGCACAAGGCTGTGGATTTGCAAGTTAAACTTGGCCAAGTCTGTGTAAGACACATTGGGCAATGCCACATGTCCTTGAAGAACCAAACTGCAGTACAGGAAAAGCTGTGTCCCCCTTGCAGTGATCCTGAGCCTGGGCCAGCAAGGCCCTGCTTCAGACCAAAAGGGAGTGGACAGAAAGTATCTGCCCCAAGATATGGGCTGGGAAATCACCCAGACAAGGATGTGCTAGAGAAGGGGATCACAAAACCCAGCCCAAATCCAGAGCCTCTCCTTGTAATCCCAGGCTCTTTTAAAAGAGACAGTAAACCAAGAGCTTAACAGCTCTGAGCACCCTCAATCCAGCCCTCCCAATACTGCAACCCTAATCTTCTCTTCAGCATTCCTGAAAAGTATAAATTGCACAGAGTTATCACAGGGTTTTGTAACATGACCTTAAGTGTCACACCAAAACCATCCACCCAATTTTGTTCCTCTGTGCAGACCCATTTGTATCAAGGACTCCAATGAAAGATCTCTTCCTAAAGATCAAACATCAAAAGCCAAGTCTTGATCTTAAATGCAACACAGCTCTTCATCTGCTCTCTGTGAATTTAGCTCCCCACCAGACTAAAAAGACCAGCAAACCTGGAGAATATCATCTACATAAAAAATATGGAAAAAGCCAGTCAAAGCTGAGATAAGATCCAAGATTAGATTCCCCCATTAGGTGAAGATCTGCTCACTGCAGGATTAAAATCCCCTCTGTGTCACCTGGCTCCAAATCAGTCTAGGGAAATTCAGACCTAGGTGCACATTGCTCTATCTGGCCCCTGAGATCCATCCTGGCCCTCCTCTGCGACTCGCTGGTTCACTTGGAGGTTTGGAGGGTAGGTGTAACCTTGCAAGGGAATCTTTCACAGCATGGGAGCCTCAGGAAGCCAGTTTTACCTGCCTTCTGGTTATTAGCATACTTCAAAAGATACCAGGTTTGCCTTAGCATCAGATTATCCTTAGAGATGAGGATGATTTTGAAGACCAAGAGCAAAGTCCATTTAAAAAATAAAGTAACCCACCTAGAACTCAACTGAAGCAGCTTTGAGATTACACCTTGTCTCTTAAGAGAAACCTAAGAGACTACCAACATTTTCTTAAAAACTTTTGCTCTGGTCCTGAGGTACAACATTGCAGGATCTACTGTAGTCACTCAGGCTGCTGGGTAATTCTATAAGATTGGAGTGAGAAGGATCCCACTGCTTTGTCTTATTCTGCAAAATTGCAGAGAAAATGGGAAAACCCACTTTTCCATCCCCTTCCAACTATCTGGAAAATTCAAAAGATAGGTTTAAGATTTTCTGCAAAGAGAAGTTTGCAGAAGACAAGATGGAATCATAGAATAGTTTGGCTTAGAAAGGACCTTGAAAAGGTCATCCTGTTCCAACTCCCCTGCAGTGAGCAGGGACATCTTCAACTGGGTCAGGCTGCTCACAGCCTCCATCCAACTTGACCTGGAATTTTCCAGGGATGGGGCATGAAAGACCTGGGTAGAAACAACAGGCACGGGGCACAATTTTAAAGAAAGAAAACTTGAATTAATTGCAAATAACATGTTGCTTATAGGAGTAATTGCAAAGGCAAAGGGTGGATTACCCAAAAACAGCACCTGCACACACAGAACCTGCTGGATCCCAGAGATGGAATCTCCATGTTCTTTACCCCATGGCTTGCCTGGAGCTGGAGTCAGAATCCCTGGGGAGGAATGGCTGGATACACACAGCCCTTCTTCAGAGAGGCCACACAGCAGAGAGCCAGGCTCGGGCCAGTCTGGGCCACTGTCCCAAGTTATGCAAAGGCCCTGCCCGAGGTGCAGGACTGAGCAGTGCTGCCAGGCAAGGACATATTGGGGACAGCACGTGGTGAGTCCCACTAGCTCTCAGTGCACAGACTGCAAATAATGTCAGATAAAGGAGCTTGTCCAGCACATCTGGAACTAATTCTACCCCCAGCTGCAGACCTGCTGTGCCACACAGGTGTGTGCACGTGCTACAGCAGGTAGGACAGCACGGCAATATGGGAAAAACAGCACGGCCACACCACCGAGGGAGAGGGCTTAATAAAACCACCCCCACTGCCCTTCTGAGAGGCTGCTGCTCATGGACAGGAGCTAAAATGCTTCTGTAAGAACAGCTTGTGAGTTCTTTGCCTTTCACACAAGGACAGATTTAACCAGAGACATTTTCAGTATCAATTTCCACTATTTTTCAATTTTTAAAGATTGTCTGTATCTGCACTTATGACAAGCAACTTTAATCAGTCACTTCTCCAGTCAAAGTCCTAATTAAATAATTAAATGGTATCATTAAATCACAGACTGCAAGCTGGTAGCATCTTACAGCAGATAAACAGAACCACAGAATCATTAAGGCTGGGAAAGACCTCCCAGGTCATCGAGTCCAACCATTAACCCAGCACTCCCAACTCCACCATTAAATCTGGTCAGCCAGAGGAAATCCAGTGGATCATGGTGCCAGAGGCCCTGCTCTCCTACCTCTGCAGATCTGGCATGATAAACTCACCATGACAAGTCCAAGATAAAATATTTAGTCAATAACAACAGCACAACACAAAGCAGAACACAGGACACGGGTTTCACATCCATGGGCATGGGGGTTGCCAAACCAACTACCACATGTGCTACCCTAAGCAAAAAAATTTAAAAAATCCATAACTGCCCAAGCACAGCTGAGGAAGTTGTCAGGCTTTTAAACTTGATCCCAAATAACAGAAGGTGAAGGACCAGACCCATCTGCCCACCAATACTTGAAGCCACTTTAACAAAGAAAAGGAATGACAACAATAAAGAGCAAATGCCAGGTGTTGCAGAAGTTCTTGACACAAAGAGAATTGTAATATGACTGATAAATCGTTTGAGTGAAAAGACTTTAATGAAGAGCAAACATGAATGCTGTACACTCTTAGGTGCTCCTACTGAAACCAGTTTGAGACTGTGCTGGGACAGCACCCAAACTGTCTGTCGTCTACTCAGTTACCAGGACCCAAAGCCTCTGCTGGCCTTTACAATAACATTCCCAAGTTTTTGGGCGTAGTGGGGTCAATATTCAACTTTGATTCAATCAGGACCAGCTAGATATAAAACAGGGTGGGAGGAGTCTATTTTTATCTTTGATTATCCAAGCCCAGATCAAAGGCTCTGCAATACAGTAACACTCCAAGGGCTTTTGATAGTGAAAGGATGTTTGTCTGGTCACCATAGAGAAAGCAATGTCAAACATCCTGTCTGTGGCACGATAAGGGATGGGGATGAGAAGTGGAGATGGGGCTCTGGGGGGAGGCACTGAGAACCAGTTTGTTTAAATAACTTGTGTAAGTTTGGCAGGGAGGAGATATTAATTATTTCTGCAGAAGTTAGAGCCTGCCCCGGATTCAGGCCAAGCAGACATTTGAAGAGGAAACATCCTGCACACCAGGCTGGGTGATCCATGCACATTTGATAGCACACACTAGGTGGGCTGGATATCTCTGTTGACTCCCTCGAAGGCAGGGAGGCCCTCTGGGAGACCTCGACAAATCAGAGAGCTGGGAAATCACCAACCAGACGAAGTTCAACAGTGGAAAATGCCAGATTCTGCACTTGGGATGGAGCAACCCTGATACACAAACAGACTGGGGAGGAAGACGCTGGAGAGCAGCGCCATGGGAGGGGACCTGGGGGTGCTGGTTGACAGAAAGCTGAATGGGAGTCAGCAGTGCCCTGGAGCCAGGAGGGACATCTGTGTTCTGGGAGCATCAGGCCCAGCATCCCGGGCTGGTCAAGGGAGGGGATAGCCCCACTTTGCTCTGGGCTGGGATGGCCTCACCTCGAGGCCTGAGGGCAGTTTTGGGCACCACAATATAAGAAAGACAGTAGGCCATTAGAAAGTGTCCAAAAGAGGGCAACAGAGATGGTGAAGGGCCTTGAGGGGAAGCTGTATGAGAAGTGGCTGAGGACACTTGGTATGTTCAACCTGGAGAAAAGGAGACTGAGGAGAGACCTCACTGCAGCCACAACTTCCTGGTGAGGGGAAAAGGAGGGGCAGACACTGATCTCTGCTCTCTGTGACCAGGGACAGGACCTGAGGGAATGGCCTGAAACTGTGCCAGGACAGGCTCAGGCTGGAGCTCAGGGCAAGGTTCTTCCCCCAGAGGGTGCTGGGCACTGCCCAGGCTCCCCAGGGAATGGGCACGGCCCCGAGGCTGCCAGAGCTCCAGGAGCGTTTGGACAGCGCTGCCAGGGATGGACAGGCTGGGATTGTTGGGGGGTCTGGGCAGGGACAGGGGCTGCCCTGGGGGATCCTGGTGGGTCCCTCCAGCTCAGGGGATTCTGTGATTCTGTGATCTGCACTCATGGGATAGCAGAAATGTGCCTGAAATGAACCAGTATTTGTCTCTCATCCGGTAGGCAGAGGGGCAGAATTGTTATGGGAGCCCAGAGCAATACTCATGATCCCCTCTTCCTTCCCCAAATATCACTGCAAGTTGTGGCTGATCATCTTTGGGTCATCTCACAAGGCCAGCCAGGATGTTATATGGCCATTGATTAAGGACATTCTCCATTCTGTATTTAACAGCCATTTTCGGATTATGGTTCTGCCCAACTGACCTGTACACAAGGCAGACAAATACCTTGCCTATAAGCCCAAACTGGAGTGCATTAGAAATCTAAGTGTATATTGGTTCCTTTCACTGACTTTTGCCTTTCTGCAAACACACACCCTCCCCAAAGATACTTGGTCACATCTTTGGGAGTTGGAGATGATCTTTAAGGTCCCTTCCAAGCCAAACCAAACTATTTTGTGAGTCTATGATCTTTACCCTCCACTTGTGTTCTTCTCATGACTCGAGCTGCCCCAGCTGCCAGTGACATAAACAGACACACATGTAAGAGTGAGATCATAGCAGTCTCTGCTCCCCTCCTCTCTCCTGGAAATGGAGAACCAAGGCCACACACCACTGCAGGGACCAGTTGATTCCAGCTGCCAGAGCTCGGGGTGACCCGAAGAGCTGGGACTCAGCATAGGGATGGAAAGAGGGACCCACAGGGCAGCTCCTGCAGCCTGTGCACCAGTGCAGCTTCCTAGTAAGCCCCATCACATCTCCATGGAGATGGGAGCTGTGAACTCACCTCAGCAGCTTTCCTGTGGTCATCCTCATTGTCCAGCAGCCGGACATCCACGCCCAGGCAGCGCAGGTAGCGCCCCAGGCCCTGCAGCATGTTGTCACAGACCACGCTGAACTCTCGGGGGGAAATGGGGGCAGGGGGGCCTGAGGGCTCTGTTCTGGGTCCTTGGCATTCCTAGAGAAAGGCAGGAGATCCATAAGGAGCAGAAGGATGATTCCCAGTACTTTTGTGTTTTTCCTCCCTGTGTTTGTTTCACCCACCATAGCACATCCAACTGCCTCCTTCCACCTGTGCCACCACTTCCCCATGCTCTGCAGCACCCCTAGATCCTCCTTCCCATCCTGTCCACATTGCCACCACCACCTGGGCCGGGGGCAGAACATGATTGGGCTAATTCTGAATTTGTCATTCTCTCCCTGACCAGCTGGCCACCTGATCCAGGGACCTGCAGCCTTTCCCTGGAGAAGTGCCAGCCTGGCCTCCAGTGCTTTGCACAGACATTCATCTTCAAGAAGTCACAGAAACATAGTGAAGGCTGCTGTTCTCCTAAAGTAGTCTGCAATTAATAAACATGTGCCAAAGCTATGATTTGGGACACACAGAGGGAGAACCAGGTAGACAAAGCAACCACGTCAACTCTGTTGTCTTTGGAAGGTTAAAAATAGGCAGTGCCTGAATTGTGTTTATTTCAAATGTCTGCTGCTGGGGGAGTTCCTGCACTTGGAGGACTTTGGCTTTGGGAGGCTCCCAGAAGTACAATAGCTAAATTCATGGAGAAGGGAAGTTATTAAGGAACTTCCAATGTCCAGCTTTTGACTCCAGGAACTTGAATCAACTGGGATGACTGAAGGACACTGCCAGCAGCTATGCAGGGAGCCAGCACTGCAGATCAGCTCTGCAGGAGCTGGCCCCAAGCTGGGAATGCTGTAACACACCAGGCAGCTCCACCTGGGATGTCCATGGGAACCAGCTCAGGTCCAGGAGCAACACTGGTGTGATGCTGCAGCTCCCAGTAGCTGGTCCCTGCACTCAGGGCTCTGCAGCACTGGGTAGACTGGGCTGTCACCAGCTCCTGCAGGATTCTGGTGGCTGCAGCTCTGACACCAGAGCATGGTGATGAGGGATGGAGCTGCCCCCTGAACCTGAGGCAGTTGGAGACACTACCCATGGCTGCTGCTGCTGTTCAAACAGATGTGCAAGAGCTGAAGCTGGCTCTTAGCCAGTGTTTATCCAGTGGCCAGCACTGTCATACAGAGCTTTTTCCTCATGTTTCATGCCAGCAGACAGCAAAAAACTTATAAAGGATAATAGAGTCATTAGCCCCACTTCAGATAGTGGACCAGGAAACAGTGAGAAAGAGAGCTTGGAGTCCTGCAGGATGCAGTCAGAAGAAGTCTGCTTCTTTTGGTGTCCCAGTCCAGGTTTTACCAACTGCCTCTTGGCTGATGAATCTGACTATACAAAACACAAAGATGACCCGTGGGTTTCCAAGGTGGTTGAAGCCTGAAGTGCTCACTTTTCCCACCTCTGCAGCAGCCACCCAGCTCTGCTGTACCACACAACATTCCCACGAATGCAGTGCTCAGGGAGCTGCTCCATGTTTTCCTGCCTGCTGAAGGCCAAAGGATGCTGCATATTTACACACAGGTGGACACAGTCAGAAGCATCTCAGCCCAGCCATGGAAGGGGCACTGACTTCTGGAGCTCCACACACATCTGGGGCTCCTCAGGATACACACATACACACGATGAGTCAATAACAAAATGGGATTTGTGCCAAGGTTTCCAAAGGTGCACAATCCACTGAATGGTTCCATTTTAAATATAAAACATTATTACTGAGAGGCACCGGTCACATTCCAAGATACTTAAGCAGAGTTGCATAGCTCTGGTGGAGTTCTAAGGCTCTGCCACAACACAAACTTCTGGGAGAGGCCTCTCATGGAATGTGGTGGTGGGCAGGGAGGCAGAGACAAGCCTTCAGCAGAAAGGCATTTTTGACGGATCATTTGCTTTTAACTTTGCAGACTTCTACTCCAGACACAATAAAGGAGATATTCCCAGTGTGAAAGCAAGGTGTGGAAACTCAGTAAAAAGCAAAAGTAAGGAAGTAAGAGTTTTGAAACCTTGGCCACATAATCAAGACCCAAAATGTGGAAGGAGCATTTCCACAAGCAAGGCTCACTGAGCTTAGCACACAGATCTGCACCCACACTTTGCAAGGAGAACTTAACCTCAAGTGCAGGGAACCAAAGTGCAGGGAAAGCTGGACCCAGGAAGGCCAAGGAGAGAGCCCAGTGTCCCAGGAGTGAGGGTTGATGAGGATGTTTGCTGCAAGAGTCCTGAGAACAGCCGTGCACAGTGAAATGCTGTGACTGAGAGCAGCAGTGTGTGATTTGCAGGGGTCTTGAGCAACAAGCAGCTCTTTGAAGATGTTTACAGACCTGTCCAGAAGGTGATGGTGCTTCTTGTTTATTCAGCTGCTTCTTTGCCCTAGGTTTTTTGCTCTGTTTTCCCACCAGACTGTCTGTCAGGTCTGAACCCAGACCAAAGCTCTCAGGGTCCTTGCAGAGCCTTTCGTAGATCTCCAGCAAGCAGTAAGCATCTGAGGCTGCAGGGAAGAGAATGTGAGCCTCAGCTCATATGAAGCTCATTCAAAAGTAAACCAGAGGCTTTCCTGAGGTAAGGAAGAACCCCCATCTTTGTAAAAGCCATTGTGAACAACTGTGAAGCTGCAACTCCCTCAGGTCATACCCTCAGCTCCAGGACTGACTCACTGAGCATCACAGCTGAACCCACAATCACAAGGGGTCAAGGCAGGAGCGCTTAAAGAGAAGCTCTGCCATCTCCACTCTAACCCAATAAACCAATGCAAACTGCAGTGTGGCTCTTCAAACCACCACCAGGTAGCTGCAGTCAGCCCCTGCTCCTCACCATTGTCCCCGAGCCTGCCCACAGCTCCTTATCACTCCTCTTGACAGGAAAGGAACTTCCCCAGGAGATGCAATATCTGAGCAGGTACTGCCCAAGCTGTTTGCAATCACCTGCCCACACTCACTGCCGTGTGCTGCTGCTCCCTGCAATGGCAACAGAAGAACTCTCCCAGCCAGTCTGACAAGTCCCAGTGATTAACTTTTGTGGGAACTGTGTCAGCTTCAAGGATAGTCGAATTTAACAAAGGGCTGGTTTGCATCAGCAGACTGTCCTTTGATGCACCAGGAAAAGATTTAGACCCAGATTTCTGACTCTGGGGTAATCAGCAATAAACTCTGTGGGTCCCTCCAACAGCCCTGAGTCTGTGCTGCAGTTTCTGACACCACATCTGCCCATTTCAAACCCAGCTCTAACAAGCACCTCACTGTGACAAATGAACACAGCATTTGTTTCCCAGGAAGGCTGTGAAATGAGGCAGAAGGAAGTGGACTTTCCTCTTTTCAGTTACTGAGAGGAGTTTCCACTGAGGTGATGTTTCATCACACAAAATCTGCAAAGCACAGGAATTCCTTCATAAGGGAAATAATGAATCACTGGACAGTTTAAACTTCAACCATTAAAGTCATGTCCTCAAAAGGACAAACAAAACATGTGCTGACTCCTCTGAACAGGAACTAATCTGCAAAGCCATTTTCTTCCTCTGCTACTTAATGACTTTCCTGGGGACAGAGCAGCCAAACACAGCCTGCCCTGACTACCTGCAGCACCCAGCCAGGGCCAGACCTGCATAGAGGATCTGCTCCTCCCGGAGTGGCCGCTTCTCCCAGTTTGACAGCTGCTCTGTTTTATCCAGAGGCTTCCCCAGCACGTGCTGCACCAGGAGGCTGAGTCCTTTCTCTGGTTGCCTGACCCCTCTCTCCTCGTGGCTGTGCTCCGGGGACAGTCCATCGACCTTCCGGCCGTCCTTCCCCCACTGCAGCTGATGGAAACAAAAAGATAGAAACCACCTGGTTATGAAGTAGCTCCCAAACCACCTCCTGTTCCAGCTGGTGGGATCAGGCACAGCCCTATCACATCCATCTCGTTCCTGGCATATTGAACCCCAGCCCTCAGACAAGGGCTGGGATGGCACGAGATAAACATGGCGTCGGGTTATTTGTTTAACAAACACACTTGCTGGAGAGAAATCTCTTCCATAGCCAGGGAAGGGAAAACAGGGCATTCTTGTACAGCCCTGCGCCAGAGCAGCAGGGCTGGGATGAAGCTCCTTGGGGCTCTGCAGGGTGCTCACCAATGCTGGAGGCTGCTGGGCATCCACTCAATAAAGGACCAGCAGCGGCAGTACAGCACCTTTCTTCCCCTAGTCCCGGTGGGAAAAGGCACTCCTGTGACAGCCTGGGCAGCAGCCCTCCCTGCAGCTGCCATTTCTCAGCTTAAACTGTGGGCTGTTGGCAGTTATGTCAGCCCCTGCAGCACTTCCCAGGTAAAGCTATCAATCCCAAAGATCTGCTTTCACCTCAACCCACAGCCTAAAACACACTCTGTACATCTTACCCATTAAAATGGTTGTGCTGAACATTTTCACAGACTGCTGAAAGCTCCTGCGTGCAAACCCAGCTTTGCTTCAGCTGACCAGAAATTCCTGTGCTGAACCCACCAGGAACTCCAGCCCTCCTAGGAACATCAGGGTTCTGTGCAAATAATTAACTCCATCATATCTGCTTGAATAATGCATGGCCTTGGAGTAACAGAATTTCTACAAGAACTTCATCTTCCTAAGTGCAACTTGTACTCAGAAACCTTGCCCTGGCTGAATGGAGCTGGGTCTCCAAGAGCTTTTCACAGCTTTTATAAAGGCTATGAAAAAGCTGTCGGTATCATAAGCTTTAACTTTTTAATTGATGAAAATGGAATTCTTCTGTCTTCCTTTACAGAATCCCAACACCTCAAACCCTCTGGAGGAAATGGTCTCTTAATTCATGCAGCCACCTCCCTGCCAATCCAGAATGCAAAGAGACAGTGCTGTGGATTCAGGACAGTTATCCACCAGTACATGCAGGAGATATAATTTCCCACATCTCCATGTGTTTTTCCTTACTTGTTTGTCCACTGCAAGGAGATCCACCACACCTTTAATTTGCTTCTCTGTGTCTTTTAGACCAGAACATGTGGCTGCAAGACTGCTGAGGTCTCCAGACATCCCATAACCTGGAGAGAAAAAAAGCCCAAATCACACAGGTAAGAAAACTCAAATCACAGTTAATGCACTGCAGCTTCTTCTAGTTCAGAGTCAAAGTGCTGACAAAATATTTATAAGCATTGGTGGGAAGACTGTTTAAAAAGGGGAATAAGACTGGGTCCTGTCTCTTTTGTTCCAAAGAGATGCTCCTGCAGATAAAGAGAGAAGAGAGGTGGATGAAAAAATGCCGAGTTTAGAATCAACTTACATAAAATCTGGGAAAGGTATTTTTGAATTTGCCCTTGAAATCCAGGTTTAGCAGCTCCTGATAAAAGCCTCCAAAAACCATGTATGGTAATTCAGAGGTCTCTGGTGTCCAGCACAGCAGCTCTGGCATAGGGACAGCACATCCAGACAGCTCTGCCCACCAGAATTACCAGAACCACTGAAGATTGGGTGTCAGTTGGGGATTAGTACAGAGCTAGGACAATCCCAAGTATGAGAGTGCAAGTTAAACCAAGGATCTTGGATCTGACCTGAAATGGGGAGATATAATGGCATGGAGCTATGTCAGGGCAGGCTCAGGCTGGAGCTCAGGGCAAGGTTCTTCCCCCAGAGGGTGCTGGGCACTGCCCAGGCTCCCCAGGGAATGGGCACGGCCCCGAGGCTGCCAGAGCTCCAGGAGCGTTTGGACAGCGCTGCCAGGGATGGACAGGCTGGGATTGTTGGGGGG